TGTCTTGTGCTTTTGATGCGGCTTGTGCTTACGGTGTTCGTGTGGAGCACCGTATTGATGGTGGGTTGCTGAACATCCGTCGTTTCGGTGCGAGAACTCTAGTCTGTGAGACAACTATCCGTATGTTGCTATTTGCTGACGACTGTGCGTTGTTTTCACACAGCGCGGATGAGTTGCAGCACATGACTAGTGCTCTGGCTTCGACAGCGGCCAAATTCGGGCTCACCATCAACACAAGCAAAACTGTCTGTCTTTCAGCCTTCACCGGAGGTGCAATCTTCAACATTGCCGCGAATCAGCATTGGTGCTGAAGTATTGGAAACCACCTCCCGCTTCTGCTACCTTGGGAGTGTGATGTCGACTGACCAGCAGCTACACAGTGAGCTTCGTATCCGCGCGTCGAAGGCAGCGGCGGCATTCGGGAAGCTAGAGTACCGAGTGTGGAACAACCATCAGCTTACCATTGGCACGAAGCTGATGGTGTACAAATCCATGGTGCTGTCCGTTCTTCTATACGGCAGTGAAACGTAGACGATGTACCGGCGGGATGTGCGATATCTCGAGCGGTTCCATCAGCAGTGCTTGCGACGCATTTTGCGCATCAGTTGGGGCGACAGAGTTGCTGACACGGAAGCGTTGCGACAAAGTGGGATGTATGCAGTGGACTGCATACTTTTGTTGAGACACCTGAGGTGGCTCGGTCATGTGAGCCGCATGAATTCGAAGCGGATACCGAAACAACTCTTATATGGTCAACTGAGTATTGAGGAGCGGCATGTGGGGAAACCAAAGTTAAGTTACCAGGACATGATCTGAGGGATCCTCACACCTTCTGATCTTGATTGCAGTTCATGGGATTTCAAGGCGGTTGATCGGCGTGCATGGCGCGATCTGATCACGAAGGCAGTTGCCGAAGTGCGGGAGAAAGACCTCATACATGCAGAGAAAAAGGGGCAAGGGCGGAAGCGGAAAACACCGATGGGTTGTACTCCATCGACATCGAGCGCATGGTGCTGTAGCACATGCGCTCGCGATTGCCTGAGTCAAGCAGGCCTAGTGAGCCATGAGCGAGGCCACTCGGGACCACTACCGAAGCGACGACCGGTTCTGCAGAGAACGTAGGCAGTACCGGCGCAGCGTTTGTAGGTACGCTGCATTCAATTTACTAACCGCATGCTTGCCTGCTAAGTTTCTTTATTTCAGGTGGTGGGTTTGCGATTTTGTCCTAATGCTTTTCTTTCTCATATAAATGTCTACCAGTACCCTCTTCTATAAACTTGCACATGTCGCTTAAGCCAATTGTAGTTAATTTCGATAACATTTTCGTGTTTGTGACCTTTCCGTAAATTATACTTTCTGACCTCGTGAACTTATCTCGGATTCGTTTGTAAACAACTTATTTCATATGCTCATTAATTTAAGAGTTAGGTCACCGTTTCCTTATGCATTACTCGATTTATTTTGTTTGTTCTCTTTCTCTCAAGTGATTGGCTGTTGCTTGATATCCCCGGTGTGGCTGCGCTTGATTTGCATGTTGACAAGGTGCCTACCTATCTATTACCCACTACCTCGTCCATACTGGCTCCAGGAGACAGTTGGTCGTTGCTGGAGGGGACGGGGTGCACGGTCCTTGTGGCCGTGCTAGGCTCGAAGAACGGTTCCATGCACTCAGTGTGGAGCGGACTACGGTCCAGCCACCGCCTTGTGTGCGCTTGATTCCCAAATACAGCGTGCTTGTGTTTGACTGTGAAGGAGTGTGGGCCGGCTCCGTTGATGAAACGTGGCTCCCATCCACATGCCTCCCGGTCTTATTCCTTCGGGTTTACACTGGATATGGGGTGTGTGGTTGGAGCTGTGGGTGGTGCAGCGCAAGCCATCCATGGTCCCTCTGTAGGCGCAAGCGTCCTGTGGCTGGCCACAGTGACAGGCAAATCCGAAACCGGATGCGGCCAACTATATACACATGTATACGTATATATATTGATCACAAGCTGTGTACAGATATTGTGCCATCGGGACCATGGCGGAATAAGAAAACAGGATTAGAGTAAAAGAAAAAAGAAAACAAACGATTTTTGTCCGTTTTTCCACTCACAGTTTTTGAGTTATTTGATGTTTTTTATTATGGGAGGGAAAGGGAATCACCGCAACTAGTAGAGATACACGCCCGCCACTGAGTTCGGTTTCCAGCCATGACTTCCAATGTTTCCAACCAACTGCACTCAGCATCCTTGGGACTCCATTCAGGGATTTGGGAGGAACCAACCGTTGTCAGCTGTTTTGTCAGCTTTTTCATCCTGCTTCTTCAAGTGGTAGGCTGTCCACTACACCGCCTCCTCCAACCCTGTCCAGCGACCGCGAACAAGGCACGACGCGGAAGACGCTGTACGGGCATACGCAGTACGTGTCCGAGCCATCGTAGTAGGCGCAGCGAGACAAGCGCCTCGAGGGAGTGGCTGTCTCCGTCCAAGACATGCTGTCTAACTTCAACGTTCGTTACGTGGTTCAGCGTTGGAGAGCAAGCAACCGTTCTCGAAGAAATACAGTCGACGTAGGTCATGGGTACGAGCAGGCCAAGTTTCGCAACCGTACAACAGGACAGCGCGGACAGTAGCATTATAATCACGTCATTTGATGTAGAGACGGATGTCATGGCGGCGCCATAAATGCCTCAGGCTGGAGAAGGCAAGAAAAGCTCTTGAGATAAGCATCTAAAGCTCGTTTCCAACAGCTCTACCAGCATTTATGCAGCTTTCCAGGTAGACAAAACTCTGTACCACTTCTAACGTTTCCCTTGGATGGTGAGTGCAGGTAGGGGCGTATACCAATCTTGAAAAAGCCCTTTGCACTTGGATCGTGATAAGTGTATGCCATACTTCGACGCTTCAATCGCCTGGTGGTTAAGTGCAAGTTGCACGGCCTACGGACCGTCACCCAACAAGACGATATCACCAGCGTAATCCAAATCAGCCGCTTGACTACCTGGGAAGAGCTCAACGCCAACGGTCAACAAGTCTTCTAGAGCATTTTTGAGGACATCCTCATTGGCCAAGTTGAAGAAGTATGGAGGGATAGGGCATCCTTTTACATGAGGCGTGCGTGACGGTTTTCCCTGAACCATGAGGGGACGCATCGGCAGCCACCAAAATTGATAAGGCTGGGTCGTAATGCGTGAGTAGTCGGTCAGAATTAAGCATAGTTTTCAGGCGCATAAAACCTTCTCGGATGAGGGACCAGTGCCGAAGAACGTCTTGAAACACTCGATGGAGCTGGGCCATTTCGTCGTGTACAGATGGTAAGAAAGCACTGTAGTAGCTGATGAGGCCAAGGAAAGATCGCAGCTGGCGAATATCTTTGGGGGACGGCATCTGTTGAATGGCTCGGACTGAGAAAATGAATGATTCTTATTTTAAAAAAGGCTGAATGTTTAATTATTGAGGAAGTTGATTGGAAACAGGAATATTTCTTAGGTGCAAAGGCTGCTCGTAAACTGTATGTCTCACGAGTTGGAAGGCTGCTCGAAACATGTGTACTGGTCTGAATGCGAGTCTTATTGCCTTCCGTGGTTTCAGCTTGCGATCTTGTGGGGACTTTGGGTCCCCATAACACGATGCACGCGGTCTGGCAATGATTTTACCAACCGTTGGATCAGGAACGGGAGAGTGTGAGCTAGCGAAAGTAATATTTCATTCGGGTGAGTGTGTGTGCAGCTACCCCTATCCGCACGCCTTATCATTGACCCAACGCGCAAGATGGCCCCATTGCGTTTTGTGTTGTATCTTCACGCCGATCCAGGTTAGATATGACCAGCACGAAGCGTAGAAGAATGGTAGCCTCATGCGACTTGTGATCCAGTTACGTTCTACATGGTCCATCCTAGAGTTTTTCATGTGTGCTGACACCTAAACTAGTCAGACCAAACCGGGATCTGATAAACGGTAAAGAGCCCGGTCGCATGATCAACTGCATCAAGTACCGCTCACCGTTTGACATCAGGACGGCTGTTACTCGCCACATATACAAGTGCTTTGATTACGCTCAAAGATTTGCCTAATATCATGGTCATCCTAGCCTGAATTTCAAGTTATGCATGCCGATAATACGACTGCTCTGCAGGTTCTTTCCTTCCACTCGTGTTGCTGGTAGACGTCTCAGATATGCTGCGCCGTATGTTATTTGCTTCATGTGTTTATATACCATGGTTACTTGTAGTGATCCCGTAACTTCGCTTTGCGAGTGACAATGAGGACCTCTCAGCTTGCTAGACGTACGTTGCGTTTTGTTATTTTGTGCAAGCCATAATTCAGTAAGTGCTGCTTGCCTCATATTATCCCCATCTGAAAAGTCAGATCTGTTTTCACGAATGCCGACAATGCATCTGCTCTTCCGACGCCACAGCCTTCGTTACTAATTTCAAGGAGCCATCAAGCATTTCGGAAGGAGGTCGAACTGTCCAATCTTTGTGACAGTGCTAGGAGCTTACAATGATTGCATCTTGCAACGGGCTACTAGCCAACTACCCTACCGTGTAAGTCCGGTAGGCATGTACAGCGCGACTTTGTGTCAGTGCAATAGATGGTAAAAGTTTGGATAAGTGACCCAGTCACATACCTCCGGGCGCAGTTTCGCGGGTTTACACTGGATAGGATCCGCGTGAATGTAACTGTGCTGCGTAACACAAATGGTCTGTGATTACCCGCAATTCGGATTTCTTGTTGCATTTCACACTCATGAGACAGACAACTGTGTGAGGGGGTCACGGAAACACAGTTTGTTAAAATAAGCTATAATGTAAGATTCAACTCAGTCTGATGCGTTTCTTCGTCAATAAGCGCCTGGTTCTTGAACGTTGCCTCTTCGGTGTATGACATACCAGTACTTGGTCTGTAAAGCCTATTAGTTTTGGCTGAACACATGTACTTGCGTTGCATACTTCATCTTTTTTCTTAATTGTTCTTATATCAGTCACTGATTAAACAGTGGATTATCTTTGTCTTTAGCAAAAGGTTGGCAGTTGTCTCTTTCAATCGAACACCACAAGCTCAGCAATCAGCAGCCTTAAGTACAAGCTATTCATCGGAAGGAAATGGAATCATTTTATCTGTCATCTGGCTGTAACGGACGCTTCTTTGGCACAGAACGGGGAATACTCATGCCGGACCGTGCATGCCAATTCTGACGGAGAATCTGCCTCTGCAATTGTTGCTGTTTTCAGTATGTGGCACTTAAACTCAAGTCGGTTCACTTTAAAATGAACACCAAACATTTATCTACTCCAAGCACGTTTGTTCCAAACCCTACTCAGCCCCATGTCGCAAACATTGAAAATCGCCATCGATTGTCGTATGATGTTCATTTCGTGTTTACGACATCCGATGTCTCTATTCATTATTTTTCATGTTCTTATATTGGACCGCCGTTTACTTCGAAACAACCCCCAGTACTTCCTATCACTGATGCTACAGCAAGGCCAGGTTTCGTCCTCGTTTGAGTTCTTCAAGCTTGCATAACCTGCTGGCATTTCGAACTCGGGACTTAAAAATTACCGGTAGAAACTTTCGGTACTTCCTCGACCAAATCCGCAAACAACACTTGTCCCAACAGCCGTAGGCATCCTAGTGTGTATTGTGGTAACCTATTTACACATGGGTGTAGAACGTATGTGCTACCTATATCCCAAAATGCCAATGATTGCCGAATGCAGTGTACCATTATGAACACTTATCCACCAATGTGCTGTTGGGTAGACTACCGTAATGTATACTGCGCCCAGAGTCAGAACTGTTCGTCCCGATGACGAAACTACTTTTACAGTGTCAATTTCAGGACAGGTTTGATGGAATTTTACTTATTCCTAACGGCTGATTGGTGTTCATACTGCGGAACAAGTTGTCTCACAAAGTCTGTCCTATGAACCACCAATAAGTTCATGTGAACTTCGACTAGAGAGTAGTCGTCTGATTGGAAGCGTTCAGCACAGTAACCGTATAAGATGGGGAAACCGAAAAGGCATTTTGGTAGACGGAACTGTGAACAGGTAAAGGAAACAATCAATAATAGCCGTGTGTCCTTTTATGTATGTTAAATATGCAGTTGAAATCGGTTCTGGATGCTGCACACTGTTGCGTGCCTGGGTCTCGCAGCCACGTCAAGTGAAACAAGACGCACCGGCTCAACACACTAGCGTTCTATTCATAATTCTGCGATTCTGTACAATTGGTTGGATGTTTAAAAACTCACTCGTCAACTCGATCGGTCGCCTGATCAACCGCACTGAAACAGGCGATCGCCCTCGCCCCCTGGTTCAGCCACCATCACACACACAAACACGCGCAAGACTTCGTCTAACGTGTTGCAAACTAAACTCTCTGAGGGGAATAATGTAACGAAGTCAGAGGATAACCTCTATCTAATTTCCCGTAGTTTTACTACTCGGATTGAACGACAGAGGTTAAAATACATGTTTATGTAAATGAAGTTGATAAATTTTGTTCATCGGACAAGTTACTGTGTACTCAATTCATTGCAACGACAATCGTCACTTTTATCCTGTTCTCGCTTTGTTATGAATAGCGTAAATGACCCCGGTCAACATACCAATTTAACACACTGTTTCGGCCTACAAATGAGTTATCCCGAGTGCACATGACTACGCTGGACGTCTGCGTGGTAACGAATGTCAGTTCCGCCTTGACCATTAATCATGAACTGTTTCGGAGGACATATATCGATAGGACCGAAGCTGCTAGACTCCGCACTGTCGTACCCTAGGGACCATGGTCTCTTTTCCACGACCGAAACACTATTATGCTGAATATACACTTAGTTCACGCGCTTTGTTTTTGTTACCAGGTTTCCCTACTAATCCTCTAACATCCATCTGGCAACCGCCCAAGGGGTAACAGCTCGTCATCGATTCATCAGCTTTTATACTCATTTCGCCCAAAACCCATTTGTCCGGCGGCGGATTCATTTCTACTAGATAACAAAAACAACCGTTGTCACTGCCTGTTAGCATTTGATTGGCTCGTTAGCGATGTTCGAGCTCAGGCAAATGCTGACGACTCTTCAACATCGCATTTATATCAGCGCTAACAACAGAGGCAGTTTGCATACGCTGATGGTCTTTTTCTGGTTATGGTGCAGCCCCGATTCATGATGTCCAGTTGCATGTGGAAAATGAAACCACGTTGAGTGTGGATCAGACGGTTAAGATTGACTGTATCGTGAAAGGTGGGAGGCCAAGTCCCAAACTGCGAATGATGCTGGGAGGTGAATTGGTCACTCGGACAACATTCGCACAGAAACTGGACGCATCAGGTTAGTCTCGCCAACTCTGTTTCTCAGATGATGTGAATACTTCCGAGCACTTCAATAAAACTACCTCTAAAATTCAAGGAATGACCACCCAGAGTTCTGGGCAATTGATTCGTAGACTGAAGTCGAATATGAGAAGTTTCTTTGTTATTGTTGTCATTTGTAAGGCATGTAAGCGTCCGCTTTACCAACGCGATCACTCCATGCTCAGTGGCTTAATAGACTTGCGAGATAAGGTTGCAGATTTTACATTTCGAGGAGTCCACTCGCCTTTGCTGGTTGATGAATGCATGACACTGTTTACAATGAGGGGTCGGCAACGAAGCGATGCTAAAAAGCTAACCAAGAAAGTGATTAGTAGACGTGAACAATAGACCAGGGGACCATGAGGCATGAGATTGAGCTGCACTATTTTTACTAAGGTCATCTTCCTTTATGAGGTTTCAACTGTTATTCCGATAACAGTAACAGAAATAAACGTAGCCAATAAAATATACCAAACACCTGGAGCTTACCTCAGTATTCGCCCTTACGCACATGTGGCTCTGGTGAATTCGATTTTAGGGGGGGGGCTACCGAGAGCAGGTTCTGCTTTGTTCTATCTACCGATGATCACGAGTTTAATCATCTTGTTTAACTAGTCAAACACATCATGATATTGCTTTTAGAACACTGATGATTAGTGTGCAAACGACGTAGTTCGGAAGAGAGTTCCATGACAGAAAAACCCGGATGGGAAAAGTGTTCGCTACGTTCCAAATGCCTCTACTGCACGGCCAACATCACCTGATGGCCCATGTGCTTGATATTGTGGCTACGCCACAAGTTGAGGTAAACGTAACTGGCGTTTCGCAAAATCTGGCAGATCAATATAGAGTCACCACCGTAGGCACCGATATTGACAATGGGACCCTCCTAGGGTTTTCTGTCTAAGTTGTTAATGGAAACAGAAGAACATCAGAACATTCTCAGTTGCTTATTAATGTGACGTCCTGAATGCGGTACAAGCGCACTTCTATGGGAGCTTCCTGGACTGAATCGTGTATTCCGCATGTGGCTCTCGGTGCATGTTGAACACTTGTGGGAAGCTGGTAAGGGTAGACCACTCGAACGCCCCTCTTTAAAGAAAAGTGTTTTGACTGGAGTGAACTCAATGTGCTCGTGCGTTTACCCACGTTTACTGAGAACGGTTTCCATATACATGTTCGTAAATCCTTAACAGAGACGCTTGTATCTCCTGCTTGTATTGAACAAAAATTGCCTGCTAAACAGTTGACTTGGTGAAGCTAGTTCGAACCCCTTTTTTCTCGCCTTCTTCGCTACTTTTGAAGTTTTCCCTTAGCTTTTCGTAATACAATATTATCTGTTGCAGTATCAAGTAGCTTGGTTTGTGCGTTTTGCAGTAGCTTCCCCCGAAACTCCCTGTAGCACATATACGTCGCCCATATTCGCCTACTTGCTGCTTCGCCTGTTTGTCCATCCACATGTTTATTCGTCTACAACTCTAACAGATAATAACCGTTTACTCAGCAACATACATTGAGCAATTGAGCATTTAACTATGTCCTGAGACTAACCAAACATTTGCTAGTGATGTATCATCACAGTAGGGTTTAGTCCTTTATACTTCCTTGGAAACGAATGGAATACCATTTGCCATTACGTCTGTTATTTGTAGGATTGACCATAGGCAATCTGAGCGCCACGGTCACACTAACCAACATGCACCACTGGAATCTGCTAACTTGTGACGTGGATATGGATGCGTACCGGAGCATAAATCGAACATTCAAGGTGATCCACCTGCACGGATACCGTAAGTGCATCGAACGCTAATAAAATGCGCCCGTTTTAAAGAATTTGGAGTTTTCAGTGTTCAAGTTGGCTTGGTTGTTTGGCACGCTTTCATCAGCTAATACCAATGCATAGACCATATGTCGACTATCGTCAACCTCTTGTTCACGGTGTTCTGTCTGGCTAGTGGTACTTTTCCCACTTGGATATTATGGCAAAATACACGATGCTTGTTTTAATGATTGAATTATTAGATAGTATTTGTCGCTATTCATTTGTAGTGACTTGCACCCTGTAGTACATTTTGTAGTTGTAACACAAGAGCATTGAATGTGTTTTCCTCGGGCTAAGTAGCTGAAAAGATCATATTGGCACAGCACAGCCTTTGATTGTATTTTCAACATCATGCCCACCTACTGTGAGGACCAGGTCCTTATGAACTTCCGGCTGCATAGTGCTCACCAGCGCCGACTTACTTAGCACATCGCCAATGTTTGCCCTCACGAGGTGTGAGGTACGAAGTCCGGTGTACGAAACTAAGGCTTTGCACCCTAGCTTATCATCGACTGTGGGTTGACCACATCATTACGCTCGGTATATTACATTTGGCTGATTACCCCATGTTAAGGCCGCTGCTGCAACTGCGCACACTAAGTTCAAGTGGGACTGGAACAGTAGGATAAATTTCCGTGAATGTTTCTTCTGTGGCGCGTCGTTGATCCAGGGTATTATTCGTCCGCGATAACTACAATCTAGAAGAGTCAGATCGGCACGCGCGAATCACAACACGGTCAACCAATTCCTATCCACAAGACCTGCACTGGCACTCCTCGCCGCACCGGTCACGTGAAATAAGAAACAGAAGTACGAAATTAATAAGGGCGATAAGGCGAATAAGCTAAGATGTGAAGGGGAAACTTAAGAACTGAAGGCCAAGGACGTCAAGTCGGGGTTCGAACTCTTTCACCCTTGGTGCCAATACCACGTTCTCGGGCAGTTCATTACAAGAATCCACCAGTCGGCGTGGTAAACGAAAGTCCGCCCGGACTCTATCCGATCGAGGTTTGTGTAACTTCATCGGGTAACCTCGGATGGAATTCGTGTCGCTTGGAAAAGCCGGGATGAATCGGGTCCGATTTTACCGGTGAATACGGGATAGGTTGAGGTTGCCTCGATGTCGATGATAATGCATTGAGAACATTCCCAGCTCAAGTAGTCTTTCTGGGTAAGGAACGTTCCATAGTCCATGAGCCATTTTGGTTCCAACTCTCAACACTCTCCACTAACATCCTGTCCCTGACTAAGCAAGGTGGACAAGCCTGGATGCAGTATTCCAAGTGTGGCCTGACAAACACTGAGAATAACCTAACAAACATATCGCCCGTGATGGTCCCGAATGCCCTGCGGACCATCCATAATATTCTGAAATCCTTGCACGTAGCTTCCCTCCAGTTCTCACTGGATCTAAGTTCTGAAGACAACGTTACCCCTACATTTACCAGTTGAGAAACACGCTGTAGTTCATTCTTGCAAAGCAGATAACGCTGTTGGGGCCATTTTGCCCTAATCGTAAAATGGAACACTTTGTGTAATTTATTTGCAACTGTCACAGAGCATCCCAGTCCTAAAGTTTATCATGGGCCCATTGCAGATTCTGGGGTCCATCGAGTTCGGGCACTGTGTGCCAAAACTTTAGACCATCTGCAAACATGAGAGATAGCACCCCCAGCAGTTCCGGCAGCTCATTGATACACAGAGAAAATAACAATGAGCCAAGCACCGAAACCTGCGGGACCCCACTGAGAAATGATTGACGGAAGGACAGATTAGACCCCACAAGAACACACATCTCTCTCACTTCCAAAAACTTTGTGATCCATTTTAGTGCACGCCTTGATATACCATAGGACCGAAGCTTAAAAGAGAAGCGAGAATATGGTACAGTGTCGAACGCCTTGGAGAAGTCAATAAACAGTACATCTACTGCATGACCGTGCAGCACACGAGGACACCGGTCCAAACTTGTAGCACTGGATTTGATGCGGGTCGCCCACCAACTGTTTCGAACTGAAAGTGGTGAATGTATGAAACAACTATCCGCAGCATTTAGTTGAGGCAAAGTCGGTGTCGGAATTCAATAAATTCCTGAACAAACACTTTGCGGAGATAAAATACATCGTGTGTACTCCAACATAACTGATCTTTACACCTGAGTGACATTAGATACAGCTGCTTCCAGCCAAAAATATAGTAGCACCATATCGGTTTGCAGTTCCTCTACAATTTGAGCTTATCTTGCTCTTAGAAAGGCTCGAGAGAAATCCCCTACCGAAACACTTGGACATTCAGCCGCCCGGTTGCGGAGTGTTGTCGTTTACTCAAAGCAGTGCGAAGAAAATAATAACGAAATTTGTCAGTAACACAACATACAACGTTAATGCCACCGACCTTAACCCACACGTTGTCCCTTATGATACCATCTCAGCTGACTAACCAATAAGCACCCTATGAGTGGCCGATGTTCGTACACTTGGTCATCTAAGTGAGACATATTTCATGCACAAATGGGTCAACTCAGATAATTTCTAGCCTAGCCTCGCATAAGTAGTACAACGTCGTGACACTTTTGGAAACGGATTGTGCTAGGTGCGAATGGTATTTGTGACCAGGTGTAAGGTGACCGCTATTAAGGATAAGGCTACGCTGCAAATCAATTTATATGACAGGGATCCATCCAACGTTTGTCGCACTAGGGTGACCAGGGATTCCTGAATCGGCCATTCAGCGGCAGTCGATCGGCCATCCCTGTGTGCCTTTGTCGATCACTCTTGCCGAGTAGATCGGTTTCCTAAGGTTTCAACTACATATGCGATGTTGGTGTTCAATCAGAAACCGTGCAGTAGTGCAATAACATGTGGTGATCTGCATATGTTATCGATTATCAGTGTCTAGGTTTCCCAAAGCACGCGGTCCATCATTCTTTATCTATTTGAGTTCGTCGTCTGAAAGTAATAAATGCACGCATGAATTCTCACATGAAAACATTCGTATTCTCTACCACCAGGTCCCTTGGAACTATGAGCAGCCAAACACCGTGGAGACTCAAATTTACTATTGCTTACAAGATCTGCTTTTCTTAAGTGGTTTCCCATTTCCCAGTTACTTTTCTGCTTTGTCCTGTTGGTCACACGTAGTGTATTCATCTGCATTTACGTTTTTCAAATACATTACTCACTACCAACTAGTAGACAGTATTTTTTCAACAAACGAGTTGACAACCTACCGCAGTCCTGGCGCGCTGGCTGTATGCAGAGTGCACCGCACAGCAGCGGCTTATCCCTCTCCAGTTCAGTAGCTTGAGCCATTTCATCTAACTGCAACTCACATTTGTCCCCAAATTGGGGCCAGCTATGCAATACTACACAAGTAAGAAACACAGATCACACTGGTCTGGTGATCAAGGCCCCGGGTTCCAATCCCAGTTCAGGTTATCATTACGTGATGAGTCTAAAGGACCACGGAACCGGTCCTAGGATGTCTTTGTTAGAAGGAGCAACACCGACGCCCGTCCAGACCAAACCCAACTCTAAAAATTCATACTGCTTTTGTCAACATGACGTCAACGTTGGCTGAAAGACACCAGAAAAACCGATGCCTAGATGTCTTGAACATGCAGATAGATACATAGTGGCAGTGCGTTGAGACAGTTGAGCCGATCATGAAATGCGACTAGCACGCTGTGGGCCACACATCGGATATCACCAGACGTGCGGTTATGATTATGGGATGCAAAGTCAAATGAGGTGGTTCGTAGTCGACTTTGGGCTCTCTAGACAAATAAATATTTGTTTCCAGGTGAAAATGAACCACAATCGTTGCTGTGCTTTCTTCGACAAAGAGTATTTCTTGATCAACCTGTCTCCCACCGTCACAGATTCGTCAGCTCAGTTGCGTGCTTAAAGTGTCCCGGGATTGTAATGTGACAACAAATACCGACGGATACAAGCTTGGCTTCCTATGCGTTCGTTATAGTTTAAAGTATCAACAATTAGTTCGCAAGTTAAGCTCTGGCGATAATCGCATTATGATGCGTTTATCCCCCAGCAGCATGTCTACAATGCCCGTACTCAACCATGCTTTGAGGAAGCGTACTAGTTACATTATCATAATTAAGTTAACACGAATCGGGATCCTCAGCTGTGGTCCGCAATCTGGAAGTTGGAATAGCTGAAATGCTGTAGGCAGCGCGTGAAAAAAACTACAGAAATGAGATAAATGGTCCCAGAAAGCAGCAAGCTTTCAGCGCGAAATTAATGAAAATAAGTTCGTAGTTGGAACAGAAGCATGAACCAAATTCCAAAGGGCACCTCGGTGATAAGTAGGAATATTTGTTGGAACCTTTTGATCTCAGTTGCTCCTAGTCTCAGATGCCTTTAACTGATACAAAATAGATCCAAGCGCCACGAAAGTTGAGCTACTGACCATTGCGTTAGGCAGGCGTATACATGTCAGCAGTTGTAATTTGTTTGTGAAATTAATCACTGTCCTATACGCTTCCACGCGTTCGGATGTCTGGATTGCCTGAGCACTGCCGGCTATAATGGCGCGGCATAAAAGTTCGAGCTCAGCTTTATGGTTCAAGTATATGTGTTATGTTCAGCAAACTGCTCAGTTTTCAATTAGACCAAACTGGCTGAATCAACCGCCACGTCGTAATAGCGTAGTCAGACTTCTTAACGCACTCCTATGCGCCGTTCTTTCAGTTGCATTGCGAAGCAATAAGCTGATGTAACATGTGTGGACGGATTGAAGTGTGTTTCACCTGAAGCAGTGTGGACAACACTTTTTGATTGCCATCTTTTGGCGCGAAAACAAACTATATAAACCTCTCTTTCGTTATCGCTTTATCGTGGGTTCCTTTAGGTCAAGGTATCATAAAAGGATCGAAAAGGCCGTCAACAAATGGAAGAACTACAATTACTAGGATAAGAGTGCGCTGACTTCATAATGGGGCGCATCCGCAGTACAAATAAACGCCTTATTCAATACGGGCGGGCTGCTATTTAGTTTAAATAAGCTATCTGCGTTCAAACACTGAGACGTTGTCGCAAACTCTTTTTTAAATTGGTTCTTCTTGGTGGATTTGTGCAAAATGCTGCAGGCGATGTAGGCTGCGACACCTGATGGCGCAATGTTTGTAGTGCTTTGACATCCGTTAAAATTTTGGTAAATAGCATCACTCAAAGTATTATTTACAACGCTTGAGGGATGCTCCTCTGTCCTATCGGCTCAGCTTTAAGCCTATAGGGATACGGTATCGAGCACAAGATTTTCCAGGGATGGCGGACACCAGAAATTTCGTGAAGTGAGTTTTTTGTGAGTCTTGCACATATGCAGTTTGAAAACCCAACCAAAATACTTTTCCAGATTCAGTACTTTTCGTCAGACTACCATCAGCACGTTCGCTTAGGTAGTGATGTTCTGCCTGTTCCTTTCTGATATGATGAGCGGGTGAGACTAGGTGGACATCATTCTCTCCCATAATTTTAGAGGGGTGACCCTGACTTGAAGGGGCCGGGAAAGTGTGTCGCAATGATCATTGAGCCACCTTGGATCACTAGATACCGGAAGAGTTACCGATCAATGCATCATGCCTGCACATTTGGCGGGTATTGGTTGAGCAGTTTGAAAAGAAGCCTTTGTCGTAGATCGATTCCGCAGGCTTCAAGTAACGTGAGTAAAACTAGGATGTGAGGATAAATGGACAGCTTACTCATGAAGTTAAATGATTCGCTTGTGAAATATGAGTTTAAATGAAATATTGCGCATACGATATGGCCAACTCGTCATAGAAACTTCACATGGACAGATTGACGTTTCTAACTTCCTTCAAATCCCAAACTTTTCTACACCGTTCCTGCTAATAGGTATCTTGTTGGTTATTGTTTTGGACACGGTGCTATCGCATCCTACCTGATCTACAGTTTACATACATCCCGTATTGTCTCAAAATGGACAAAAGCTCACTTTAGTGAACTACTTCCGTCACGCCGCGGCTACTCGCCTTTCCCGGCGGCTTCGTCGTACTTCAGCTATGTAACAGCGGACCCAAGGAAGCGAAGAACATGAACGAAGCAATGTACTGTCTTAAGTAAATAAATTTTCTCATTTAAGTAAAAACACGACACGTAAAATGACACCGCTGTGATGTGTGCACACGGTCAATTCCTGGCCCGAGTGTTCCCATGCATTTTCATTCATATCACTAGTCACGTGAATCGCCCGACAGTCAATAGCTCGTGACATTCAATCGCAACGTATACAGTCCAACCTGCTATGGCGACCACCTGTCAAAGACGACCAATTTTTGTCGGTCCTTGAATGGTCTACTTAGACAGGTTCGACTGTTCCTGGATCCCTGATTGTGGCATGTATTAGGCATCGTCGCAGATCTCTGACGCGGCAAATCAAGTAGCCATCTTCCAAGAACATATGAAGCACCAAAGCTCATGCCCTTCTGTCCATTCCCTAATGCTTATCCAGTAGGTTATTGACCGATCGCGATGCGACTTTACTTATTCGACTGCACTCATTGTACTCATGCATGACAGGTAAGAAGTCGACAGATACCTGAAACAGTTGTCCTGGTGAGAATACATCCACTACCTCATAAAATTTCAGAGCGCCTGTGACCAAATGTGCAACAGTAGAGCCATGAAAATAATGTCCGGCCGGACTTATGAAACACGGGTGCCGGTTCACTTTCCCAAGTTGGAAGGAACATTATTCAGAAATATCTACTGTATGTTTATCCAAGTCCCTGATTTAAGCTGCAGGGTTTGCCTCACTCTAAAACGGTGTATACTGTCTGATTGATTGTCTGGCGCTCCGTTATCTAGAAACATCGAGTCTGCTCTCAATTGGAAGAAAGCCAACAGTTTGGATGGTTAAAAGTAGTTTTACAATGATACTGCTAAAATGATTATCACTTTGGTTTTGTTAAACTCAAAATGCTTAACTTTAGAGATGATGACTCTAAATATAAAACTCGATTTGGATCCGCTGCGTTTCATGCTGTTTAGAAAGAAGCCGGATAGGACAACCAGCAGTTAATTGTCGACTTCCTGCAGCATCCACTCTAGTTCCATGACATATCAAAGCTTCGTTTTTCCTAAGGCGCAGAATGGAATCATTTGCCCCCCCCCCCAAAACATAAGAGTAGGATGCTTGGAATGCTTGCTTCCTGGCGCGTCAGGCTAAGTTCTAGGAGCGAACAAACTGTATATCCATCCTTCATATACTTGACTAAAAAGCATTTCATGAACTTATGAATGCTGTGGATTGGGTCACGTCGTTCTCAACCCACAAGTCAACTGTGGTTGTCAATGATTTTACCATCAATATTATCGTGTGTTAAAACGTACCGGCACCTGTTGTATGGAGCACCCTGTATAGCCAGAGCAATCGACACAATTTTCTCAATAAAGTCGAAATCAACTGAAGAAACTTAAAACCACATATTGCTAAACTACTACAGATAAACGAGACTCTATTGCAGCTCCAAGGTTTAGCCCAACGAGCCGAAGTGGAAGGCGAAACTCGGACACACAGAAATCCTGAAAACTTATCTGCACTGATGCAGCTATCGTGAAGATGAAACGCTAAACGGCATCAACAAATTGAAACTCTGACATTAGATGATGGTGTAGATGCGTGTAGATGCTGTAGATGCGAGTTAATCAACTAATATGCACTTTATCCCGAGCCGATTGTGTGACCTTCATGCATCTATTCTTTCCTCAGTCAGAGTGAAAATTTTACCACTACCCCCGGCAGCAAAAGTAGTTACTACGTCAATACTCAACCTGACATGACCACGCAAGAGGAAACCGCAATACAAAGCAGATGTTAGTTATATTCATCTTCCCATCGTAATTTCTAGTGGGTGCAAGTTATGTGTTTTGTCAACTTTCATAATCTTCCTGCTGACCTAGCAAAGTACCAACTTCCTCTTGCTCCCATGTATCAGTGATAATTATTCGGACTAGACTGACCACCTAAAGAGAACCGCTTGTCATGTAGAGCTTTAAGTAGTGTATACGAAACACCAGGGGTGATGGTCACGTAGCTTTATCGCAGAAATTCGTTATTAAGGGCCGCGGCTGGATAAACAATACTGAAACAATTCGCATTTGGATTACGTTCGCTGTGCATATTTCA